CAAAATTGCACCAAAATGGCAAAAGAAAATTGTGTGGAAAAAGTATCAAAGCAGTAGGCAAAAACAATTCAAAATAACTTACTTTGTTTTCCTCCTAAAGATCAATGGAGGAGCTACAAAAGGGATTGTTTCATAAGACATAACGGGGGATTTTTAGAGAGAGAAAAGAGAGAAGAGAAAAACAGAACTTTTGTTAAACTCTGCTCATTCATAAAACTCAGTTCATTCATAAAACTCTGCCCATCTTCAACTCTGTTTTCACTCACAAAACAAAAAAAATTCTCAACCCATTATTGTACAACCTTGCAAACTTTCCCTTAAACCAACTACCCAAACAACTCATATACATCACATAGAGATTGTTCTAACATAAGAACAATTTCTGTAACACCTTTATCATCACCTTCCAAGCATAAACAAAAAAAAAAAGTACTTTGCACCTTTAACTGGGTTGGAGCGATTATGGACCTTTGTCATACAGAGCAAGGATTGTAGTGGCTCCAAAGAGGAGCTCGGTCATTCATCACTTTGCATCCGGAGATATCCATATGTATTTCAAAGTTTCGCTTCAAGAGGTATATTTTTTTTCAAAACTGTAATATCTTTTCCCATACATCATTTTCTGTTTGTGTTCAAAAGATATGTAAAAGATAAATAAAATAAGGGGGAACACTTAGTAAAAAAGAGCCAAGACAGGGTCTGACACGGGTGCCCGTGTCACACAACACAACCGTGTCAGCTCATCTGTTTGAAAAAATCTCACAAAAATATAGGTCAGGGGCTGACACGGATGCCCGTGTCATAGGACACGGCCGTGTCAGACATACTGGAACTTTATGCTAACAAAAATGCAGGTCAGGGGCTGACACGGATTCCCGTGTCACTGGACATGGCCCGTGTCAATTTAGCTGGTACAAAAAAGGAAAAAACGCACATGGACCATTACAGAAGCTGACACGGGTGCCCGTGTCATAGGACACGGCCCGTGTCAGACCAGACAACATAAATTTTGATTTTCTTTTGACCTTTTGCTTTTATTTTCATTCAATTTGGTTGTAATAATTAGGACTTTTATTTTTTGCAACCCCCAGTTGTACACTTGTATACCTCATCCCTCAAAAAGCATGTAATAGCGTAGGACCTTTATTTTCTGTATTTTGATTGCTTTCATAAATGTTAGTAATTAGGGTGTGTGGCAAGATAAAACCAACAAGTAGACCATCCTAATCGAAGAATAAATGCATGCAATCAAACACACCATTCACACATGCACCTCTAGTGTAATCTTGCTTTGTTGCCTCGGAAAATAGTCATGTCCCTCGAATATGGGAGTTTTAGCAAAGACCCTCGATAAAAGATCGTAGTCCCTCGATGACCCTCAATGTTGCCTTTTATAAACGATCTAGTCCATAACGACATTGCTAAAACGTCCCATAAGTTGCCTTCTATGACTATACAAAAACGTCCCGTGCCCGTCCCTTCACATCCAATGATGGGGATTCTTACCAAAACAATGGTAAGATAGCAACATCTAAAGGAGGAGGAAAATAATATTTGAGACCTTTTGAGTAGGTAGGTTGCTCCTAGTTGCTCGCTTTCTCACAACAAAAACATTTTATATACCAAAACTCTCACCTTGAAACATTTTCAAAACCAACACTTTGTACGCGTTCTTATAGAAACGAGAGCCATTACAAAGACGTTTTCAAAATACTTTAAAAATCCATACCACAAGCACATTTTCAAACAAAAGCAAGTGATCTAGCAAGCAAATAAGAGCCCGTAGATAACTACGTATGAAAGGGGTGCTAATACCTTCCCTTTTCATAACCTACCCCCCGAACTCAAGAAATCATCTCGAAAGGTCACTCCTGTTCTTTTCAACCTTTCCTTTTGGATAAAAGAAAATTTGGTGGCGACTCTTGCTATCCTCAACAATTACGATCAAACTCAAAACACCCAAGTCAGTTCTCCCACCGTATTACACATATCATTAACACAATATTTATGCATCAATTTTCACACAATTCAATAATCCAAATACATTTATTCAATAATTTCATGATTTTGCATTATACCTAAAACCTTCAAAACCTCAACAATAACATAAACATGGAATTGACTCAAAATAGAATTTTATTCAACAATTATCAACACACATCATCAATCAAATCACCATATCATCATGATAATATATTTTCATCATATTTTTCATCAATCAACATACAACAATAGAAATATTCTAATTCACCACAGAAACAATCACACATTAGATTTTACACAATCAAGTCACATTCACATACATTGACATAAACCCACAAGTCACAATTTCACCCAACATCATCACCAAACAGAATTTTATCATTGAGGATTTAATACATGAAGTAGAATTAGGTTCTGGCAAGTAATAATCCTTATCCACCAATCATTATACAATTCCTTAGATAGTTAGAACCTCATCCTTACTTTGAATTTCCTAGCTTGAGCTCTATTCCCCTCTACAATGGAATCTTCTCCAAGCACTAGCTTCCTCTTCTCTCTTTCGTTCTCTTTTCTCCAATTCCATGATCGTAACAAAATGACAACAATTTCTCTAACTCTCTTTTTGTCACTCTTACCCCTTGGACCCTTTCTATGGCATTCCACTTATGCCCTCACTTAATCACTTAAGATTACAAAGAAAGCTCTTCATATCTCTACACTAATATTATTTCTATTTCAATTATTATTATTATTATTATTATTATTATTATTATTATTATTATTATTATTATTATTATTATTATTATTATTATTATTATTCCAACTAACCAAATAATTAAAATAAAATTAAATAATTATTTAATTATTACTAATATTATTTAATTTCTCTAATTGTAATTAAATAATGCTAGTAACTAATTACTCTCACCACCTCAAACTCTACATAATTGCTCACACCCCCCAACACTTCAAATCTTTTATTCTAACGGTTATCATCCCATATCAAAGGGACCACATACACATCCAATCACCAATTAACACACATCATTACATAATTAAATATGAAAAAAATTAAAAAGAATCGGGGCATTACACTCTTACGGAACTGCTTGGTTCTAGAGACTTTAGTGATTTGCATGTCAAGCTTAAAGTTGGTCCTCCACCATCCTAAGCTTGAGGGGGAATATTACAATGGTGATATCAAGCACGAGTTTTCTGATGATTCTTTTTCTTCTGTTAATTCAAATTATCGTTGTGGTGGAAGGATTTGTGTATTTTGTTGGGTGTGTAGGGTGTTGAAAACAATTGGTTTCACAAGAGTCTTTCGTGCAAGGTCAGAAATGGTTCAGATATTGATTTTTGGAAGGGTTGTTAGATTGGTAAAGAACCGTTATGCAACCAATTTCATGTGCTTTATTAGGAACTGTAGAATTCGAAAATGAGAATCATGGATGTTGGCTCTATGGTTCAAAATACTTCGTATTGGTCATTCTGTAACATTCGAGAAATTATATCCACTCCGAAAAGTGTTGAGTGTGATAATTTGCACTCTATTCTACTTCACATCCATACTGTTGCGAATCAGCGAGATATTTTTGTCTGGTGGAGCGCATCCGCGAGATTTTCGGTGAAATCTGCCTATGATAGGTTACCCTTTTCCGAATCAGTGAGATATTTTGTCTGGTGGAGCGCAACTGCGGGCTTTTAAGTGAAATCTTCCTATGATAGGTTACATGCGTGCGGTGATCATAATTTGATGTTCAATGCAAGTTTGTTGTCTTCTTTGAAGTTTGTCTGGAAATCAAATGTGTCGTCTAATATTCAAGTGTTCGTGTGGAGGTTGCTTCATCATATATTACAAATAAGGGATGGGCTTGCTAATAGAGGATTCATTTCGGGAGTGCATAATTTGGTTTGTCCATTATTTATTGGTCCAGATGAGACTCACCGTCATCTTTTCATTTCATTTCAGGTTGTTGTTGAGGTTTGGTTATCTATTATGAATTAGGTAGGGGTGAATGACTTTATTGTTTTCTCTAATATTTATGATCATCTCTTGTTGTTTGCTTTTGTTATGTTAAAGAAGACAGGGAAGAATTGTAGAATTCTTATTTGATTATCTATCGTGCGGGCTATCTGGTTAATTAGAAATAAGATTTTGTTCAATCGAAAGCTGAAAGGGAGTCGAGAAATTGTTTTTGTAGCGAAAACTTTAGTTTGAGATTGGAATAGTGCTAGATCATTTGGTCAGTTTTTTGTTTCTAAAGATAATTGAATATCAAATCCGATATTTGCTCTGAACTAGTTTGGTTTTTTTTTTGTTTATATTGGATTGAGTATCCCTTATACTCGCTTTAATGCAATTTTTTGCTCATCAAAAAAATATTTTTTGTAAGTTAGTTATAAGTAGTTTTTTGTTATTAGAAAGTGAGTTAGAGATTAGTTAGAAGTGGTTATGGTAGTTAGGGTTCGTTAGAACCTAACGAACTTCAACCAACTCTATATACAGTTCATTTTCTCCTTGTAAAAACTTTGAGCTTAGAATCAAAATCAAGGAAAATTAATAAGAGATTCAACTCAACTAAGCCATCTTTCAATTCTAACAGCAATGATATGGTCTGTATGGTATTCGAGATATGCAAATATTTTAAAGGAGAAGAAGTAAACATTCAAAAGGTAGTGGTGCTCATTAAGACAATGTCATGGAATTCATTTGTTTGCAAAATAAACTCAAAACACAGATTAATTAAATTATGTCCCAATAGCTAACTTCATTATTAACAAAGCATCCAACACACTAATATATGGTTCATTCAATTTCAAACAATTATAGCCATTGCTTCATAGAGTAAAATCAAGGTCTATATCTGTATCCCATTACAGAAAATGCATCTGCAAACTTCCAACACATGTAATTAAGATACATTTTGTCTATGGCAGAAGAAAAAAAACTGGAATCTAAAAAGTCTATAGACAATAAGGTAAAATAAACATATATACTCTATTAAGTCATGGAATCAAAGGATCCATCCTTGTCCTTGGATAAAGCTATTCTCACCAACCATGCTCTTTGGAGCACTTGATGGTTCAGCATGAGCATAGTGTTGGTACCTGAAGAAAATAAATATACCACATTAGTATTCATGACTATAGAAATCTTTTAAAGATCATCTCAGACGTTTCCATCCTCTGCAGCTAACGACTGCAGAGGCCAGAGACGCTGAAGAGTATCAGAGTTGTTTGAAACTATGGTTTAATATTAATTTGAATCAAACACGTTTAAATTTGCAACAGCCGCACTTTTCATCTTTCTATGTATATGATCATATTAAAGAAGGATGATTTGGAATACCCTATTTGCAAGAAAGGTTCAGGTTGACAATCCATGTGATTGGTTTCAGAAGACTGAAAAGGAAAGTTGCATCCTCCAGCAATAGTAGCAGCAGAATTACTAGAGCTCCACAAACTTTCAATAGCTTTAAGATTAAATCCATCAGATTCAAGCTGAAAAATTTGGTTCCATCAAATTAATGAACAATATTTTGAAAAATAAAAAGACCAAATCTAAACATAGTGCAATCAATACCTTGAACCTAAGTTGCTTATTTATGTCTCCAAGGCGGAGTTCCTGCATGAATAATGGTAAACATACACGCAATCGAATAATTTTATTTACTGGGTGGGTGCAGTAGCTCAACTGGTATGTATACGTCTCAGTTGAATTAATTAGTTGGTGTAAATTGAGGTATGAATTTTTTTACCTTTTTCCTAAGCTCTTCCATTTGTTCAATCATAATTTGTGTCTGCAAATGAAACAAATTTGATATACATTTGATACACTAGATAATAGAAAAATCCAAAGGGTTTTGTAATAATTTGAAGGTACCTTCCTATGCCTAGCTTGTGCTAAAGCTGCTTCAAGCTGTTTCTCAAGGTTTTGTAGCTCTTTTATGTTTAGTGGTCCAAGATCTTCCCCTAGCAGTTGCCTGAAATAACTTCACAATATTAATGCAACCACATCTACTAGTACATAAACTATGAAATTTGTTATTGTTGAAAATGAGAGAAGAATTGTATAGAAGAAAGGAGCTAGCACAGTTAATAAATAAACAAACCTTTGTGCCTTTTGAAGAGACTCATACTTTGCCTTTAGCTTTGACATCTCTTGATACCAGTTCTACAAATTCATTCAAATTATTTTATTAATTACTATCTCATCAAAAATCACAAAATTATCATAAGAAAATTTAGCATAGGTTTCGATACGCGTTTGAAGTGTAGCTTTTCCACAGCAGAAACAAACATAGCATTAATATATACCTGAGTTTCATGTTCATTAGCATTATCATTATCATTGTGACAAGTAAAAGAACACTTCTGGTATCTTTCCAGAGTTTTTCCGATGCTGCAAATTAAAACAAACTCATTATATCATATCATCAACTTCCTTTAATACTAAAAAAAATTACAGTAAAATAAATTAGAGACAAAATATAAATAATAACTTTTTTTTTTATATATATATAGGAAAAACATATGTTATTTATGAATTCACCTCATAAAGGATAAAAAGGAAAAAAATTATTTTTTTACCTCAATGAGCTGTAAATATGATTTTTTATTTATAAAATAACGGTGTAACTTTTTTCTGGTGAAATAATAGTGTAAATTATTTCTAGTTATATGTATATTATAATGAAACTAGTAGAAAAAATGTAAAGAAAGTAAAATGAAAAATGTTAATTAATATAGTTAAATGTGTGTTAACAATCCAAATCATGACAACTCCATATGATAAATTAAAAACAAAAATCTTGTTGAACCTAACTTGCATTTCAAACGTTGGAAACATGAAAATTAAAAAACACATGCTAAATTATAACCTGTATGTCATTAATTTGTCAAGAAAAGTATAGTTAATGATTGATATCATAAAACTATAATGTCGAAAAATTTGCTTATCCAATTCATATGGTTTATATGACTTTATTATTAACCTTGAAATATCATAATAATCATAAATTACATATAATATATGTTATTAGTTTTAACCGTTTTTTTTTCTTCTTAAAACCCTATGAATCTACTATAATCATGATTCATGAAGCAGATTCTTCAACAAAAAAAAAAAGACAGAATCAAAAGGTGAGTATAGTTCTACATGTACATGCATCATGAAGTGTTGATAAAATAAAAGTGTTAAATTTAGAGAGAAAATGTGAAAGAAACCCTAGATCTTGAAGAATGGTACAAGAAAGTGAAGAAGAAAAGATCCTAGTACTTTACCTTACCATGTTCATTTAATTACCATATGATTGGTTAGTTCATAAATTTTAAGAAGAAAAATAAAGTGTACTGTTCCATCAGGAAAGTAACAAAGCTGAAACCTTTATCCCAGAATATACATAGAGAGAGTTTGTGGGGTAGAAAAAATATACATGATTTGATGTAATTTATCTGAATTCTGAACCCTTCTTCCATTTCAGTGTGTGTGGAACCCCCCAAAACACATGAAAAAATTCATACAAATCAACAAATAAAAAGATCCTAAAATTAGGGTAAAAGGTTTTGAAGAGGGGGTGTAAAAGTAAAATCTTGAGAAAAAAAACATGAAATGCAGAAAAACCAGTGACTATTTTGGTGAAAGAAACTGAGTCATTGAAGAAAGTGTGTTGCAGAAAATCAAGAGATCTATAAAGCTATATTGGGATTTGCACCAACAAAAAGTATGAGAGAGAGAGAGAGAGAGTAGTCACCCAGAAGGTGAGCTTCCAAATTCAGAGAGTTTTCCACGGCTTGAGAAAATGATAAGAGCGATTTCAGCATCACATAGAACTGAGAGTTCATAGGCTTTCTTGAGTAAACCATTTCTTCTTTTGGAGAAAGTAACTTGACGGTTGATCTTGTTTTCTATCCTCTTCAACTCAACTCTCCCTCTTCCCATTTTTCTTCTCTCTCAAAAATAAATAACTAAAGACTTTGTATATTTATATATGAAACTATGTCTATGATATTGTTTAAATAGTTCTCTCTCTAAGTAAAATATTTAAGTTTCTATCTACCTCATATATTTGATAGCATAGTTTGCAACCATAGTCATATATTTCGCAATTCGCTTTGATGTGTCGTACGAATTTAAATATGCATTTTACAACTCTCAAAAAATTAGACACATGAAAGGTATATACAAAATCATTACATTATCATTATGGTGAACAAGGTTTGTACTAACGTGACCGACCGCTATCAATTCTTTGTAATTTTGTAAACTAAAAATCTGCAATGTGGTTTACTAAAAACTTAAATAGTTCTTTTTCTAAGTAAAAAAAATACCTCATATATTTGATAGCATAGTTTGTGATCATAGGATTATCACTTTGTTTCGGTATGTGATACGAATTCGAATATACGATTCGTAACTCTTAAAGAATTAAATACGAGAGAAATATAGAAAATTGATACATTACTATTATAGTGAACAACTTCTTACTAACATCACCAACCTCCATCAGCCATTTTTAATTTTTTACCCTAAAAATTTGTTATGTGAGTTTGTTACCATTAAGGTGACTTCAATTTAAAACATTTAATGAGATTAATAATTGGGGAAAATTTTGTAATATATTCTAAAGAAATAAGAGAGAGAAAAAAATAATGTAGTTCATAGGGTGTGCAATACTAAGTCCAAAATTTATTATAATTAAATAAATTTTATAAATTATTTATCACGACTAAACTGTAATTAAATAGAACCTCTATTTATTTAGTCATTATTTATAAAGTGCAACTTATCTAGATAGATACCTCTAAAAAAAATTTGAGATGGCATGTAGTAAGTAGTAGTTGAAAGAAAGTGTGATTGGTATATATAAATGGATTGTTTGACAGAAGTGGAAGTTAGAGTTTAATTACATAGAAATAGACAATGCAACATAAAGAATGGAGTATAATTGATCTTCTTTAACAAAAAAATGGAAACCCAATTGTTGTTATTTTAATTACATTCTCTTTTCCAAATTTAATTTTGGTAGGTCTATGTTGGCCCCTACACTGTCTCAATTGTTTTCCCTTTTCAAAGTTACTATTACATGTTTCATTGTTTTGTACATTGCTTTGAGTTTTTTACTTTCCATGTAGAAAAGAGAGTCTAGAGTACACTCAACATCATAGGGTAATATTTTTGGAAATGCAAACATCACTAGCTGCTCAAACGGTTTAGCCTAAAATTGATGAGTACAGACTATTGAAAGCTTTGCAGGTTGACCATCAAATTGGAGAGAAAATCACAATGTGATTTCATAATCATTGTATTCAGAACCTTAAAGTCGTGCTTGTTGAAATCATGATTCATTTTTGTTTATATTTAAAGGAGGAATAATATTGTTAGATTAAAAACTAGAAAATGAAATATAAAGTGGTTGAGTTGTGTCTCACTGTGGTGAAGTGATACTTCTGATGTAACATAATAGACGCATCTATAAAGTTAACTGTATTCTAATGTCTAAGTCGTTTTAATACTTAAAATGTCTCATTTTACTCTTATATATCAAGAGTGAATTAAACTGTTGGTGAATAATATGACATGACATATAGATAATTATCTGATTGAAACAGACTATAATTAATATATATTGGAGAATAGAATTGTCTACTTTTATGTAGAAAGAAGGTCCATCTATTCTATACGTATTTCAACCCGAGATTCACTTGCGGCACATAACAAATACAATATTGGCAACTAAATATAATAGTCATATTCATAAGTAATTGGGACCAGTATTTAAGTAGAAACATAAAACTAGTATTTGTGCCCTTCGGTGGAAAAAAACACAAAGAAAACGAGGATAATGTTTTCCCTTTTTGTGGAAAAGCACATGTACTGTTTTGAGCATTGATTAGTTTAATTTGTGTCATAATATAATTTTATTTCAAGAACCAAACAATCAAGTCTCAAGCTAAACTTTAATTCTATCATACACATAACAAGTCATTAACTTTAGCACTATTTGTGGTACAAAACTTCAGCATTTTCTTTTTCTATTTGGCTTTCATGAGCACTCTCTTTACCTTCTATTTATACTCAAGCTCAAGTTTATGATTCTGTTTATGGTTAAAGACTCTGATGAGTCTCTCACGTGAATTCATGCTTTTATATCATTTTTTTTTGTTTTCAATCATTTAGAGACGGTTTTAAACCGCCACAAAATTTCAAAATTTTATTTTGTGACTGTTTAAAACCGTCGCTAAATGTCCAAAAAAAACTCATAAATTTGCTAAATAAATTTTGAAAATTTATGACGGTTAAAATCACCACTAAATAATTGAACAGTAAATAAAAACAATGAATTTCACATGAGATGGTCTCACGCCCTAGACAACACCCAATTTATATGTATAATTTTGTTAAATGCATTTATTGAGAGAGACTTGTTCCTTTTTATCTTTTGGATTGAAATAGATCTTCATCTTTATAAATTTTATAAATTTAATTTTTTGTTTTTTTAGGAAGTGAAAAGAGATATGAATAAACAATTAGATCCACTAAAATGACTCTCATATCTATATTACTAATACACAAGAAAGACAAATCAGTCAAATCAATACTTTTAATACTAAATTTTATTAATATATTATTATAATATAAGTCTTAATTTTCTTTTCCAACTTAGAGCGTGTATATATATATATATATATATATATATATATATATATATATATATATATATATATATATATATATATATATATATATATATATATATATATATATATATATATATATATATATATATATATATATATATATATAATATATATATATATATATATATATATATATATATATATATATATATATATATATATATATATATTATATATATATATATATATAGTATATATATATATATATATTATATATTATCATGTCCAATTTATTACAAATAAAATTACTATGCACTTCATTTAATGTCTTTCAATGTCTTTGTAAATAAATATATCAACTAATATTTTGTCCTCGGTAATTTATCTCAAAATGTTTTATTCTTTTACAGAAGATCGGATTCAATGTGATATTTATGGCAGTTTGGTTATCACACTACAATTTCATAGGATAATTATTCTCAAATCTCATCTCATCTAAGATTTGTCATACCCATATTTTCTCACACGTAGTTTGAGTCATAGTCATATATCCTGCTCATGCACTAGATTTTGTTACTGCATTATGTTTCTTACTTTTCTAAAATATTGAGTTATTTCCGCAGACACTTACTCCAGTCTTCGATGATAAACCATCAAAATTTTGTATTTCCCACTATGTTAATTTGATACTGGTTTGTGTTCCAACACTTCGGTAAAATAAAAGATAAATTATGCCTTTGAAGTCTATTTTCCGCCTTGCTTTTTGGTTAAACTCGTCTGCAACTAGCTACCACCACTATTATATATCCTTGACTTGAAACTTTTGATGAAATTCAATCTTGATAAATTCGTTGATATTCATTTAATCTCGAAATTATAAACCTTGAATCCTTCACTCAACAAGTTAAAAAATAGACATAAAAATGGAGAAAATCTTCTTCTTTTTTTTCCTTCAAGGAACTTCAAACCTTAATTCTTTCAAGATCAAATTTCTTCTTGCAAGAACTATACACTTCAAATGAAATATTACATCTCTAATGTTTCCTCACAGTCAATCATCACACACATAATCATCACAATGATTCTCCATGAACATGATAATGGTGCTGATTTAAAACAAATGAATATGTATTTGCAAAGGTTTTTCTTTTCAAAACTTTTGATCTCACTTGTTCCTGATTGAGAGTTTTCTCATCATGTTATAAAAGGAAATGAAATGAAATAACAATTTATATGTGAATTGAGAAGAGGTACAAAAATAAGTAAAAATTCACTAAATGAATTTATTCAAGGTTGCGATGAATTAATTCAAAGTTTAAAGATAGTTGAAAAAAATGACTTAGTCAAAGCCAAAATGACTTAGTCATTTATGTCCCTGACTTCAGTCATGCAAGAGAATGACTCTAGTCTTGCAAATAGAGACAAAAACACGTTTAGAGACAATATAATGAGTCGAGTATCTTGAGACATGACTCGATTCAAATATGGAAAACTGAATTAATCAAATCATTTACAAAATGAATTAAATCTTGCAAACAGAGTAAAAAATACATTTAGAAGCAACTTAATGAATCGATTCAAATTGTAAATGAATCAACTCAAACATGAAAAATTAGATGAATCGATTTACAAGCAACATTGAATCGATTCAAATTGCCTTGGCTTGTTGAATCAAGTCACACAACACTTAAATCAAGTCAAATATAGTTTTTTTTTGGATAACAATTCAAAAATGCATGGAAAGTCAATATTTTCATGTTTGTGATGAGAAATTCAATGAGGAAACTAAACATCATAATAAATCATAAAATGAAAAGCATTAAAACAACTAAGTAACCGATAATATCTTTGAGGGTAACTTCAGTCTCCTTCCTTTTTATTTTTGACAAAACTTTATTAATTTTTGGGTGACATGGAGCTATGCTACCACTACAATTGAATACTTATTGCATCAGTCAAATATATTTCAAGTCAAAATCTTTCTCCTTTTGACAAAATCAAAAAGGAGGGAAGAAAAAAAATGAGAAATGATGGAATCACACAAGAATAAAATACAACCAGCATATTATGATACACATGCAACAATTTCATAAACAGAAGAAGAAAGAGAATCATCCACGAGATATAATAGAGAAGCATGCAGTAGAATCATATACAACTAATTACTAAGCAAGTACTTAAATACCAAATTGTTAAGCCAATTAAAAGATAACTCAACAAAAACCTTGAACAAATTTTAGAATATTCAGAAGATAAATAGAATAAAAAAACATGCACCAGATGAAATATAATAGAAAATAA